TTTCCTGCATACTTATATGACATACATTAATCTTCTTGCCTATTTTACATAATATAAAGTACTCATTTTACCTACTTTCACGTTCTACCTAATTCTAAAATATATAGTATTCGTTCTACCTAATTACGTAATATACAGTTCTCGATTTACCTAACTACATAATATACAGTAATCGTTCTACCTAATTACTTTATATACATCACTTGTTTTACCTAATTACATAATATACATTATTCGTTCTACCTAATTGCATAATATTCAGTACTTATTTTACCTAATTACATAATATACAATAAGTTTCTTGCCTATTTTACATAATGTACAGTTCTTGTTCTACCTAATTACTTAATATACAGTACTCGTTCTACCTAATTACATAATATACAGTACTCGTTAGGCCTAATTACAAAATATACAGTACCCGTTCTGCCTAATTACATTATATACAGTACTCATTCTGCCTTATTACATAATATGCAGTAATCTTCTTAGTTTACATATTATGCAGTACTCATTTTACCTAATTACATAATATACAGTAATCTTCTGACCTATTAACATAATATGCAGTACTCCTTTAATCGTTTAATATACAGTAATCTTCTGACCTATTAAGATAATATGCAGTACCCTTACTGTCTACTTACATAATATTGTATACTCTTTCTGCTTTTCAATATGTGGCTTAACTCTGAACATAGATAAGTTGTATTTAAAAACAAACTTAAACTACAACATCAGAGAGTAAGAGAGACTTTATATCACTGCACGTTTCAAATGCATACATACCAGCCTATTTTTTTTGTCTATGGAAGCAGTTGTCTCTTGTTCGTTTAATAGATGTACGTTTACGAAACGAAAAGGAAAATCAACATCATCATTTAAAGATAGAGAAAATGAAATATTTGCAAATGTAAAGTAATTCATAACGGATTGATAATTTTGCTATTCAGAAGGGCTCACAATGCACTATACATTCGAGAAATAGTCCAGTATATAACAATAAAATAAGCGAATAACAAGGAATATATTCCTTTCTAGATTAATAATATATTGCATATAATATTAGAATCTAGTGTATAACACAATATAATCTAATGCACTCAAAAATAAATTCTAGTGCATCACAATGAACCTCCTACTTTTGGAAGTAATATAATCTAATGTATAAAAATATAATCTAGTGTACAACAAAAAGAAAAATCTTGTGTATAACAAGGAACTTAGTCCATTCTAAATTAATGGAATCTAGTATATAACATTGTAATCAAATCTATAACATAAAAACGTCTAGTGTATAACAAGTAACTCACTCCTTTCTGAATTAATATAATCCAGAGTACGACATAATATAATCCAGTGTATAAAAAGGAACTTATTTCTTTCTGAATCTCCTGTATAACAATATAATCTAGGGTATGACATAATAAAGTCTAGTGAATAAGAATGGTGTCTTAAGATATTTGTAATTAATAGCAAAATACGAATCATGTGGGAATTATACTATCATCAGGAGGTCAAGATTTGTTATAGCAACTGAATCCATGTGTGAACGACTCCACTACGAGTCAATCACTGAGGTTTAATTTTCTATACGAAGCTGCTGCTCAAAACATGATACAGGCAGATCAAATCTTGTTAACTCTAATTGCGAAGAATACAGTTTGACACCGTGTTTGAAATCTCTTAATTCTCGATATTTACACCGAACTTAACAACCCGAATTTTTGTGATTGGAATAAAAAGAAATGACATTATGGATCGTGACCCACCATGATTTGACGGCGACCCTAATCTATCTATCTATCTATCTATCTATCTATCTATCTATCTATCTATCTATCTATCTATCTATCTATCTATCTATCTATCTATCTATCTATCTATCTATCTATCCCATTTAATGGCAGAATATTGTACCATGTTTGTCAGGAAATGTTTGCTCCCACAATCTCACTCTTTCATATTTATTTTGTTGTAGATTCTTACCATCAACATGGGAATAGGTAAAGCCAGCAATTTTACACATTTAGCTTTGGATTTTAATAACAGAACACTAATATTAGCTGATCAGCTTAACCGGAGGATTGTGGTAAATTGAATATTCCCTATCAAATATATATTTTCACTCATCTTTCTTAGTCTCACACTGTCTCACTCTCAAATACTAGTGGAAGCTATTTTATGTTTTCTGATAGTTTTTGTTATGGTTTTCTGATAATTTTTGTGAATAATTGAAACAACAACAACAACGATAATAATAATAATAATAATAATAATAATAATAATAATAATAATAATAATAATAATAATAATAATAATAATAATCGTACAGAATTAATAAAAAAACAACAGGTTAATGAGTTGAAATTCGCTACAAGCAAGAAACAAATTTGTACGTCAGTAATGGTTAACGACACCGATTGCCTAATTCTCAAGCGGTTGCACTCTGTTCTCATATCTAATACTGGCCCATCGTGCAATCGTCGGACATTCTAAAGCTAATCCTTCCAAACAAACCTGTAGTAGCCTACCGGATACCAACAAACCTCAAGGATATCCTAGTCAGGACAAAGCTAATACCAATCACTAGTCAAGACAAACCTAGTCAATCTGGACCCAGTGGAAATAAAAGATTCAATACCTGTCAACATATGATAGAGACCAGGACATTCACTAGCACAGTGAGAGTGAGAAAAACTAAACATACATGGTCCAAACAAAACGTGCAAAACAGAATGTTATTTATCTCATCACATGTAAGATCTGTACCATTCAGTGCGTCGGAGAAACTAAAAAGCTACACAGAATAATAAACCTTCATAGATCTGATTGGATGACAAAGAAGCTGTACAGAAGCCCAGTCGAAGAACACTTCTCCTGCTCTGGTCACACGTTCAGTGATATAGCACTAATGGCAATGCTAACAACCACAGCTAGAGTTCCGAAACCAGGAAGGAAAAGGAATCTTACTGGATACGCCGCCTTGGAAGATGAAACCTAGCCGTATAAACCAAGAAGACTAGAAAAAGAAAGCAATGTACTAGTAAAATTAGCCTTTGCAGCCGACACAGTTTCTGTTCAATCTTTTCTAAATCTTCTTAGTATCCTTTAGTTACAACTATGATAATAAAATATCCGGTATAGAATCAAATATCCGGGATATAATATGCGTTACATAAATGTAAACAAAAGTAAGAGATATTGATTTGGCTCATAGACCTTTAGGGAATTATTAACATTTTTCAGTATTCGTAACAAGTCTATACAGGATGGTTGAGACAATGCATCTATAGGTTTAATTTATGTAGACACAGCCATGTAGAGTTTAACAAACAACGTTTTTATGTGTATTTGTTTGTTTTGTATATATTTTGTATATGCCTTCTAGAGAGACCCATTAAGGGTCGAAAGCATTCAGGCTTATTAGTTACTAGTTTCGCTTTGTTCATCGTCAATTTATTGCGTCATATTCATTATATCAGGTCCCTAATACTAAGATCATGTTATGTATAGGGGTCACGAGACTGCTTCAAATCTGATGCAGATATATATATATATATATATATATATATATATATATATATATATATATATATATATATATATATATATATATATATATATATATATATATATATATATATATATATATATATATATATATATATATATAAATAAACTTTCGTCTAACAGAGAGTCACTTTCACAGAATATGACGAACCTGTGTACGAGGTCTTATTCACTGGAACGTCAAAGTATGTCAATGGTAAGAACGTGAGAGAATAGTATAGCAAATCTCCAAAGAGAATCCGATTATATTAGACAAACACATGCATGCATACATACATACATACATACATACATACATACATACATACATACATACATACATACATACATACATACATACATACCTACCTACCTACCTACCTACCTACCTACCTACATACATACATACATTCTATCTATCTATTTATTTGTAATGTAAGGAGATAATTTAATTTAACCTAAGTAATTTACAGTAATTACAACGTTTTCAGGAACGACCAACGGCTAGGTTATATGTTTTTTTATACTGAACAGACGCTGTGTATCTTTTTACAATTACATTTTGCGGAATGACAATTGACTGTGTTACAGATATTGTATGCTGGACAGACGCTGTATATCATTTTTCTATTTCAGGAATAACCGTTTACTTGGTTACATATATTTTATGCTGGACAGAATTGTATATCATCCTTCTATTTCAGGAATCACCATTGACTGGGTTACAGATGTTGTATACTGGACAGACGCTGCCTATGATTCAATTGTAATTTTAGGATTAAAATATCCAAACGTGGCCGAGATACTGGTACAAGAAGATCTTGATGAACCGTATGGAATCGTGGCTTATCCTACTCGGACTGGAGGGTAAGGGATACTACTACTACTATTACTACTACTACTACTACTACTACAACTTATACACGTCCGCCTCCTTCTCCTCCTTTTCTTCTTCAGTTTATGTTTACAGCCTTGTCATCCAGATTTAATTGGTTTGCGTTTCGATTTGTTGCACAACAAGCTGATCAGAACTGTGAAAGTAATACACACTGATGTATTCGTTTCCTATTTCGTTGACGATTGCCTAAACAATGGAAATTGTGTTAACAACCATTTTGTTAGTTTGCGTTTCGCAGCAAGCGCAGTAAACCACAAATGCATGTATATGCATATTTATCTCCCCCTCTCTCTCTTTCTCTGAGGGTCTTTGTGTGTGATTTTAATTTTTTAAAGTAGCTTTAACAACTTTGCAGTCATTTGGCTACGATGTCTGCAGTGTGGCAGTTTATAGTGATGTCTAGCACTGGGGCATCATGTCGCACAAATGTAGCATCATGTTCCACCCAGTCACATTATCCTAACACCAGGCCGACCAGTCCTAACACTAGCCTCTTAATGCTGAGCGCCAAGCGTGGCAGGTGTTAGTACCATTTTGTAAGTCTTTGGTACGACTCGGCCTGGGATCAAACCAACAACATCCCGAATCCGAGGCGGATGCTCTAACCATTAGGCCACCGGAGCGGTCGTATCTATCTATTAAACTAGCTGGTTAAAAATTTTAGTACAAACTGGAGGAAGGATAATGCTATGAACAACATATGAGAATATGAGGTGGATAGATTCTGAATTTTCCGTGTTTGGAGTTAAAATTATTGTTTCATTTCCAACGACATTGTATTGTCAACCATAGTCTTCTACAGTTTTATGTTTTCAATTTAAGGAGCATTATTTAATTAAGTTTAGTAGAATTCACTACTGGAATTTTGCCAGTTTGTTAACAAGAGGTACAGTTTAGCATCATTATCACTTTATTATATAAATGCTGCACCACTAGTATGCTACTTTACGTATTGCTATCCAACCAGGCAAAATTTGAACATTGAAGTTATGAGTAAAACTTTTCATTGCGTACGGAAACCAAATACCAAACATTATTTGTTGAAATTCAAGAAGAATTGTTATATTTCACCAATATATTCAACAGTCTTTGAAACATTAACATAATCTAGAAACATTTGCCAATGTATCTAAATGATAAAAGTTGTTTGGTAATAAAAAAAAACAACATTATATTAAAAAAATATCACTAAAACCTAGTTGTACACACTGATTGCTGTCTTCGTGGCTCCTGTTTACGTTATTGTCCAATTGTCCAATCGGTTGATAATAAACATTCCCGCATCGACAGCTCAGACAGCTACGTGCTCCCATGGTGATTATATATATATATATATATATATATATATATATATATATATATATATATATATATATATATATATATATATATATATAGATGCAATAAACTGACGACGAACAGTACGAAACTAGTAACTAACTAGCCTAAGCGCTTTCGACTCTTAATGAGTCTTTTTCAAAGGCAAATACAAAACATAGTTACGACAAACAAATAAACACAAAAACGTTGTGTTTGTAAACCTCTACATTTCTATCTTCACATGTGCTAAAACTATAAATACAACCAGCTTGTATAGACTAGTTGCGGAAACTGAAAACGTTGTATAATTCCCTAAAAGTCTACAAGCCAAAGCGACATCTATTTTTACTTTGTGTACATATGTAACGCAGATTATATCCCGGATATTTGATTCTATACCGGTTATTCTTATAGTAAAAATTGAAGGATAAGAAGATTTAGAAAATGTTAAATTCTACTAGTGCATAGTTTTCATTTTCTAGTCTTCTTGGTTTAGACCGCTTGGTTTCAATGTTCTAAGGCGGCGTATCCAGTATGATTCCTTTTCCTTCCTGGTTTCGGAACTCCAGCTGTGGTTGTTAGCAATAGCGATAAGTATTATATCACTGAAAGTGTGGCCAGGGCAGGAGAAGTGTTCTGCGACCGGGCTTCTGTACAGCTTTTTTGTCATCCAATCAGATCTATGAAGGTTTATCCTTATGTGTAGCTTTTCAGTTTCTCCCACGTACTGAAGGCCACAGATCTTACATGTGATGAGATAAATCACATTCTCTGTTTTGCACGTTTTGTTTGGACCATGTATGTTTAGTTTTTCTTTAGTCACTGTGCTAGTGAATATCTTGGTCTCTATCATATGTTGACAGGTTTTGCATCTTTTATCGCCACAGGGTCCAGATTGACTAGGTTGGTTTTGACTAGCGATTGTTGTTAGCTTGGCCTTGACTAGGATATCCTTTAGGTTTTTTGGTCTCCGGTAAGCTACTACAGGTTTGTTCGGAAGTATTAGGTTTAGTATGTCTGACGATTGCACGGTCGGCCAGTGGTTTGCGATGATTTTACCTACTTTGGGATTGTCTGGGTGATAGGTCAGAATAAATGGTATCCTATCAACCTTTTCTTTCTGTCCATATCTGAGTAGGTCATCACGGTTTGTTTGTTTGGCCCTTTGGATTGCCTCCGCAATCAGGTCTTTGTCGTAGCCTCGGTAAATTAAATGTTTAGCCAGCTCTTCAGACCTTTCTAGGAATCTTTCATCGTCGGAGCAAATTCTGCGTATCCTCAGTGCCTGGCTATATGGAATGTTCTTAATGCAGTGTTTTGGATGACAGCTGGTTGGGAGAAGATACTGGTGTTTGTCGGTTGGTTTCGAGTAGATGTCTGTGTGTAATTTGTTTTCCACCAGTCTGGTTGTTGTGTCCAGGAAAACATGGTTTGAGTTGGAAATTTCTGCCGTGAATTTTATTGAAGGATGGAAGTTGTTTGCCTTTGATATGAAGTCATCCAGACTTTCTCTTCCATACTGCCACTTCATTTCTATATCATCGATAAAGCGTACCCACTGGTATGGTGTACGCTCAACCGATGCTAAGAGCTTTCCCTCAAGTTTTCCCATGAAAATGTTAGCATACGAAGGGACCATTTTAGTACCCATTGCAGTTCCATTAATTTGTAGGTAGTTTTCTTCATTAAATTCAAAGTTGTTGAGTTGATGAAAGATTCCTAGAAAGGTCTGAAGAGCTGGCTAAACATTTAATTTACCGAGGCTACGACAAAAACTTGATTGCGGAGACAATCCAAAGGGCCAAACAAACAAACCGTGATGACCTACTCAGATATGGACAGAAAGAAAAGGTTGATAGGATACCATTTATTCTGACCTATCACCCAGACAATCCCAAAGTAGGTAAAATCATCGCAAACCACTAGCCAACCGTGCAATCGTCAGACGTACTAAACCTAATACTTCCGAACAAACCTGTAGTAGCTTACCGCAGACCAAAAAACCTAAAGGACATCCTAGTCAAGGCCAAGCTAACAACAATTGCTAGTCAAAACCAACCTAGTCAATCTGGACCCTGTGGCGATAAAAGATGCAAAACCTGTCAACATATGATAGAGACCAAGATATTCACTAGCACAGTGACTAAAGAAAAACTAAACATACATGGTCCAAACAAAACGTGCAAAACAGAGAATGTGATTTATCTCATCACATGTAAGATCTGTGGCCTTCAGTACGTGGGAGAAACTGAAAAGCTACACATAAGGATAAACCTTCATAGATCTGATTGGATGACAAAAAAGCTGTACAGAAGCCCGGTCGCAGAACACTTCTCCTGCCCTGGCCACACTTTCAGTGATATAATACTTATCGCTATTGCTAACAACCACAGCTGGAGTTCCGAAACCAGGAAGGAAAAGGAATCATACTGGATACGCCGCCTTAGAACATTGAAACCAAGCGGTCTAAACCAAGAAGACTAGAAAATGAAAACTATGCACTAGTAGAATTTAACATTTTCTAAATCTTCTTATCCTTCAATTTTTACTATAAGAATAACCGGTATAGAATCAAATATCCGGGATATAATCTGCGTTACATATGTACACAAAGTAAAAATAGATGTCGCTTTTGCTTGTAGACTTTTAGGGAATTATACAACGTTTTCAGTTTCCGCAACTAGTCTATACAATCTGGTTGTATTTATAGTTTTAGCACATGTGAAGATAGAAATGTAGAGGTTTACAAACACAACGTTTTTGTGTTTATTTGTTTGTCGTAACTATGTTTTGTATTTGCCTTTGAAAAAGACTCATTAAGAGTCGAAAGCTCTTAGGCTAGTTAGTTACTAGTTTCGTACTGTTCGTCGTCAGTTTATTGCATCTATTTTAATTAATCCCTGACAAACGTGATCCCTTGGTGGATCCAGTACGCTAAAAGAGGGTTGTTATTCGCCATATGATTTGTATTCTTTATATTACCTACCTCGTATGGCTCGATCTACCTTTGGTGTGATCTAACACCCTTTTCGGTCTTGTATTTATGTAGTGCTACTGTATCCGTTCCATTGTTTCCTTCTTATACTTAAATTGTTGCCGTATCTCTTAGAATGGAGACGATGTCTCAACAAATACAGAAAACATTCAAAACTTTACGCAATGAAACTGATGCTTTAATTCGCCTAAAGCATCATTGCACTTTCTTGCATCATTTCCTCGAAACAAATACAGTCACTAAAGGTCTTCAAATTCATGTGAAACCGCAAATTATTGGCAAGAGTTCAAACAGATTCAACAAAAGATGGAATAAAATAACTCACGACGCTTCCATGAAACTCACAGCCCTACTTAGTAAAAACGTAAATCATCAATATCTAGCCAAATCAGCAACCATTGAAGAACTAAAACATCAGCTCAATTCCGTCTCAACAGAAGAACAATTGAAAACGTTTTACTCCAAATTAAATAAAGATGAAAAAAGACTCTCTTCGAAACTATACAAAGTCAGAGATAGAAAATTTAGAAGTCATGATCTACAACCAAAGGACTGTTGTGAAGAAACTTCAATTGACGAAATTTCTTCCATAAACAACCGTAAGAAGAAAAATCGCCGCAAAAGGAAGAATCGCAAGCACTCTGTAACAAACACTAATGCAACTGTTACTAACACAGTAGTCAACATCTCCAATTTAGAACTTACTGATGCAGAAATAAAACTTTTATCGAAAGGTTTGAGTTTCTGTCCCCGTCCAAAAACATACGACAGAGGGAAGCTTAAGAATGACACCGAAGAATTCATCCGCCGACTAAGACTCAAAGCCCATTTTGCCTTGCAACCACCAAACAAATCAAAGGAAAATATAAGCTGCGACCAACCCACATTTAGAAAGAAAAGTAACTGGACCCCACCAAAAAGTTCAATTCCGAATCTGGAAGCCTTTATCAACTCGGTTGAAAACGATACTTCCAGACATATCAACCATACTAACAAATATTCTAATTTGACAAAAGAAGAAACAGATGCCCTGCACTCACTGAAAAGCAGAACAGACATAATAATTAAGCCTGCAGATAAGGGTTCCGCTGTTGTCGTTATGAATAGGGAAGACTACATTAGTGAATCAAGTAGACAACTAAGTGACGCTAGGTTCTACCAAAAACTGGACCATGATCCAACGCTGGAATATGCAAAAATCATCACTAATGTTATTGACGAGGCGTACCAAAGCGGACACATAGAACAGCAAACCAAAAACTACTTAAGCCCAGAAAACCCAAGAGCAGGTAGATTTTATCTTCTACCCAAA